ACCTCTTTGCCTCAAGAAAACCCTAATAAGAAAATAACTATAAAGTTAACTTTATACTACATCACATTTGAGTGGCAAACTTGTAATTAATTCAAGTTTGCATCCACTCACCCTTATGGCCGACCTTGTCTTTGTTATTAGGCTAATTGCCCATTTCGTTTTAGTTGTCATACAACTTAAACATAATGGGCTTTGTGGGCCCCAAAACCCAAAACCAACTTAAAAGCCCAATACGAACCTTTTGTAAAATTAATTAACTAATTAATTAATCTTGACCATTCTCAATTAAACCATTTAATTGCTTATCCATCTCATTTATATTTCTTCACTTTCATCCTTACTCGGTGTACGATCCATTAGGTTCCAATTAGCGAGGCAGTGGACGATTGTTACTCTTAACGATCGATTGTGAATTGAAACAACATTTCAATTCTCCCTTTGTTAAAGATTAGTGTTTGCTAATCTTCAGGGCTTCCACAAACCATGAGTGACACCTAGCAGCATGTCATGGCTACCCAAGCTAAATAGAATTGGTTGGAGAACCTATCCAGTTACAATTTCAATGCAATACGGTTCTTCTCTAATACAATACTCTTAATCACATTGTTTGAGTGATAGTTTGTTTCATGTCTACTATCCAATGTAATACTTATCTATATGATTCAATTGAATATGATTTGGAACATACTTCCTAAGTTATATTCGTATGCTTTGGCCAAAGACTCCCGAATCATATCTTAGAGTATTCTCTTTCCACTATGGAAGATTAGAGATCCCTTGTTGTGCATTCATATGCCTACATGACTAGATAGCTTGACCCCAACAATGCCGTGGACACTCTCGATGGAATGCCTTTGACATGATCAAAGATCAAGGACCTAACCATTATACATCTATGATGCCTCAGGTCAAAGGACTACTTTACATATTGCAACTTACGAGTTCTTACATGACATGTATGTTCGAACTCTCTTTTGATCGTTGTTCAGTGTACTCGATTACTCTTTCAAGCACCTATGTGTTTGTCTTAGTGTCCAACACTAAATGACTTGAAACTAGTCATACTCACGCTTGAGTTGACATAACACATACTGACCTTAGCGGATTGTTAATGCCCAATTGGCAATCCTATGGCTAGGAACGTTTTAGGAATGAACATAAGAGAAAGGTCTCGTTAATCTAACTTACTTAAATCACTTCTCTCTTAGATCAAATACATTCCTTGGATTCCCTTATTGCTTAAACACATGATACAATAAATAGTGATTAACAATAAGCTTTGCCCTTCATTAAACATATAATAGTTTAATACATTAAGTATTCCAAAAGCTATTACATCAAATGAGTGGCTTTGTGGGCATACTTCCAACAATCGAAGGTTGATCATTCGGAGCTTCATTATGCGGTACAGCCCCAGAAAACGAAGGCAATAAATGCCTTTGGAATAAACCCACAAACCTCTGATGATCAAGTAAAATCTGACCATCAGATTCATGCAGCTGGTCGAGCTTCCTCTTCATGTTTGTAGCATAGTCATGTGCGAGCCTGTGCAACTGTTTATTCTCATGCTTGAGCCCTCTGATCTCCTGTTTGAGACTTATCACTTCAGCCGCCAATGATTCAACTTGGCGGGTTCGAGCAAATAGGCGTTGGGCCATATTAGACACAGAACCTGCACACTGAACACTGAGAGCCAGAGAATCCTTAACAGCCAACTCATCAGACCATTTGGAAAGTAGTTTGTTATCTTTGGGAGTGAGAAGGTTCCTGGCCACCACCGCAGCGGTCATATCATTCTTCATCACAGAGTCCCCAACGGTAAGAGGACCAGTAGGGGATAAGAAGGATGGGCGCCATATGTTGTCTTGAGAAGGCATGGCTGCCTTTTCACCAAAGTTCAAGTCAAAACGACTGTCGGATGGGCCAGATATTCTCAACAATGATGAAGGAGAAATGAGGTGCAATAAATCTCTGAAGTAAGGGGAAAATTCCTACAAGCAATAACTCTTTTAATGTACTCCTTGCACACAATTGGTGCCCTTATAAAAGAAAGGGCAACAAGGCCGTTGGTTCAAAAATTGAACAAGCACCACCCTCCGGATTTCGAAGAGGCACCACTTTCCATACGCAACATCAGCTCCTCGGGTACAACAGATAACTTTGCCAAAAATCTCTGACAAAGTTTAAACACATAAATTTTGAAGGTCCAGCTACCGTACTATTACCCACAAGGGTAAACGAACAGCACCACTGCTTGATAACTAGAAAATCCCAATGTGTGTCAACCTCCGTGCTCCGTGGCGAGGCAGACTGGAAAAACTGCCCAACCTTTACTCACATTCGAGAAAACACTCCCAACAAGATTGCTTGCTCAAAAATCAAAGAGGCACCGCCCTCCGAATCTCAAACGCCTGACTCCCAATAGGATTACTTTCTCAAAAATCGAAAAGACACTGTTTTCCGAATCTCAAGAGTCAGACTCCCAACATGATTGCTTTCTCAAAAATCGAAGAGGCACCGTTCTCTGAATCTCGAGAGTCAGATCCCCGATAGGATTGCTTGTTCGAAAACCGAAGAGGCACCACTCTCTGAACTTCGAGAGCCAGATTTCCTTGGATAAAGCTTGTCTGCAATCTTCACATGTAACATCAGCTTTCCAGATACCACATACCACTTTTTTAAAGCACTCTGACAAAGTTAAAACATGTGAAGCTTGCAGCTCCCACTACATTGCTATAACCAAGAAGGGTAAATGAATAGCATTATTACTTGCTAAAAAATCGAAGAGGCACCGCCCTTCGAATCTCGAAAGCCAGACTCCTAACAGGATTACTTTCTCAAAAATCGAAAAGACACTGCTTTCCGAATCTCAAGAGTCAAACTCCCAACATGATTGCTTTCTCAAAAATTGAAGATGCACCGTTCTCTGAATCTCGAGAGCCAGATCCCCGATAGGATTGCTTGTTCGAAAACTGAAGAGGCACCGTTCTCCGAACTTCGAGAGCCAAATTTCCTTGGATAAAGCTTGTCTGCAATCTTCACACGCAACATCAGCTTTCCAAATACCACATACCACTTTTTCAAAGTGCTCTGAAAAAATTTAAACACATGAAGCTTGCAGCTCCCACTACATTGCTACGACCAAGAAGGGTAAAGGAATAGCACTACTACTTGTTGTTAGGGAGACTTTTATATATGTCAACCTCCATCCTCTATAGCCAGGCAAACCTGCAAATAAAAAAAAAATGCTCAACTTTTCTTCACATCCGAGAGGGCACTCTCAGCAGAGTCTCTCGAAATACTCAGCTTATTTTCCTCCCGATAATACCTCTGCAAACAAGCCACACCAGAGCAAGAGTATCTCATATCATCAGGGTTAAAAGAAAGAGTGTCCCATATCATGCTTTTTCCCTATCTTTTCCTTTGGCCTTGTTCTTACCTGCAAGACAATGAGAAAGAGAGCAATCAGTCAGCACTTGGAATCAAGCTTCTAGTCAGGAACTGACTGCCTGGAACCCTTTGCCTGATTACTTACCTGGCATTGCTCTCGAGTACTCATCTTCAACATCTTATGCTTCCAGAGAAGATACCACATCTGCCTGAGGAACAGATAGGGCAAGTGAGAAGGATACAAGGAAGCATGTGGAGACAAGCGTAACAGAACACGTGCCGATACATCCATTACTTTGTCAACAGCAAAAGTATCCCATATCATCAAGGTCGAACGTACTCTAGATTTGATGGACTTGTTTTGACCCTCAAATTCTTGAGTCGGCCTTATACTCTGGAGGAAACCAGAAAACCCTCCAGCCCAGTTCAAGAATAAGCTTGTGGAAAGTTACTTCTTCAAAAGCAAAAGTATCTCATATCATCTCTTCTCCATTTGCTTCTCCTTATCCTTGTTGCTGTTTACGACACAAGGAGAAGGAGAACAATCAACCGGAAGCCGAAGTCGAACCTCCGATCCAAGTTGCTTGCTTGGAAGTCTGATTGCTTACCTTGTCTGTTACCTCTTACGACAAATCTCCAAGCTCGGCGACTTAGGGGACTCCTACTATAGGGTTTTGTATCGCACTTGACCAAGCCCGAAACTACAAGTAAGCTTCAAGTGAAATTGATACATTACCTTGTGCATCTTCATCGGTTAAAGATACCATCCCTGGATGGAGGAAAAGTACTTCCAGAGAAGATGCCACATCTACGTATGAGACACATAAGGCAAGTGAAAATGATACCACACTTCGGTACTTAGAAGTTTCGTGATTACTCAATGGCTTGGATCTTGCAAGTCCCCAACCAAGGAGCTTCCCTCACTCGGGAACTTAGGGGAGCACTGTTTGTACCATACTTGACCAATCCCGAAACTACTGAGCACCGGTCAACGTTATACCGTCAAGGACCCAGAAGAGTTTCCCTCCAACCAGAAGGCCAATCACAGTGCGACACGTGTCGACATCAAAAGTCAATCATAGCACGACACGTGTCAACATCAGAGGCCAATCATAACACGACACGTGTCAATGTCAGAATGAAACTAAAAACTCTCTTCTATAAATAGAGATCATTCTCTCACAATATTTCCTAATGTCATTTGTACTAAATCATTCACTTGTACTCACTAAAGGAGAGCTTGAACCTATGTACTTGTGTAAACCCTTCACAATTAATGAGAACTCCTCTACTCCATGGACGTAGCCAATCTGGGTGAACCACGTACATCTTGTGTTTGTTTCCCTATCTCTATCCATTTACATACTTATCCATACTAGTGACTGGAGCAATCTAGCGGAGGTCACAAACTTAACACTTTCTGTTGTACCAAAGTCCTCACTGATTTTGTGCATCAACATTTATACTAGCTCGAATCGTGATGAAGATGAATTTATTTTGTAATGCAAAGTTTGAAAATACACGTAAAAGAAAGAGAATTCTTATTGAATGAAACAACTTTTGTGGCTAATAAATAGCCTGAACTGAAACTGAAAGAGAACAGCCCACGATTTTACAGGTCCTATAATCGTGGTATATGACTACGTCAAAACAGAAAAACAAGCTTGTCCCTTAAATATAGGGATTATTAAACTCTACGTGACTAACAACCCTAAAAAGAAGGAACCCTAGCAGTAACGGCTAGGAGTTCCAACAACTTCAACACGGTGATCCCGTAGCCTAAAGCCCCAATCGCTTTCGCACAGACACCAGGCATGACCACCCTCCCAAGAGAAGAATCCGGCCTACCGGCCAGTGAATTGTACGATTCAGAGCGCCTTAAGCGCCCTAGGATTTCAGGTATGCTTTTGACCTTTGTTTTAGGGTTTATATTTAGAGATGGGAGATTTGAATTCATACTAGCTCCACTCGTGATGAAGATGAATTTATTTTGTTTTCGTAACATATATATCCTTATATATTGATTTTTGTTTTAGGGTTTGTGGCCAAGATTGGGCGAGAACCTTAATTTTATAGGGTCTGTGACCAAGATTGGGCGTAAAATTTTGTCAACGAAAACTCTGTTTTTTTATATTGAAAACATATACAAATTCAGGTAATTGTTGTTATTGGATTCTCTTTTATCTCTGGCAATATACATGATCTAGCTGCTAATCCTAATCCTATCCTTGAAATTACATAAATTTTTTCTGGGATTGTTTTTGTTTCTATTTCGTGTATATATGTGGCTAATTTCTGGGATTCTCTTTTTTTCTGGTTGTTTTTGTTTCTATTTTTTGCTTCTATTTCGTGTATATATGTGGCTAATATCTGGGATTCTCTTTTTTTTTCTGGGATTGTTTTTGTTTCTATAATTCGTGTATATATGTGGCTAATTTCTAGCTTACCTTGTGGTGGGAATTAGTTTCTGAGGATCTCCTACTTCAATGTTGTATTTTAGTTTGTGTATCAAGCAAGAAAAAAAGTCAGTTCAGATTGTTTATCGGGTTTTGTTGCAAACAGGTAGGAGTAGGAAAGCCCCGCCTTGCAAACACTGTCAAATGTATACGCACGACGAGTCAGATTGTCCATGCGTGGACCCAAACCCGGTTTGTGTCTTCTGTTTCGTGCATAATAATTGTGGGTTTATTGGCCACTGGGCTGGAACGTGCCCATACGAGAATGGTTGTGCTGAGAGGCCTGCACCCCCTGCTCGTCCAAAGAGTGTGGCTTATGTGAACAACTGTCCACCGGATATAGAGCAGAAAGAGTTGGAAGAACTTTTCGGCACTGTTGGTCCTATATTCGAAGCTGTAGTTACTCCTCCTCTAAACGATACTTGGCCTTATGCACTTGCAAGTGTTTATTACGTGGAAAAGGATGACGCCCAGAAGGCCTTCGACAAACTGAATGGGTATAGCATCCGGGGTCACATTATCAAAGGAAAACTAATGAAAATGGCTTAAAAACTTTTAGTTTTAATGATAAGGACAAAATAAAGAGTAAAGTGAATAGTACCATGATTGACTTTTTAGTGTAAAAATGTGGTTTTTCGTTAAAATGAACAATATCGGGTGCTTTTCGTTAAAGTCCCCTATACTGTAGTTAAAGTCCCCTATACTGTAGGGTTGACCCGCCTTTCCTGCCCTTGGTGTAGGTTCATCCCCTCACTCCTCCCCTCCATCTGTTGTTCGGATCTTAATAGTGAATAGATAGTCGCACTAAGAATGTTGCTTGATCTTAAACCTCTGTTTAGGATTTTGCACGTTGTCATTTTAATTTGGCTGCTTGTCCAAGGAGTCGGTAATTTAATATGAGCTGCATCAAATGAGCCTTTTTTATATGGATGGATAGCATGAATTCTTGTTTTTATTTGCAGTATCTGAGGACGGTTGTTGATTTTGTTCTGGAGAATTTTGTGTCTAAAAATTATGTGGAAGAAAGTAATGCAGTGGAAGGCATGGTTTGTGTCTAAAAAATATGAGCAGCCTTACCATTTCTGGCAGGTGGACCCATGGGCCAACCGGGGCGTTCTGGTTCTCTGCAACCGTGACCCGATTCCTGGGCGTGTTTTTCCGAAGCTTTTTCGGCTTGCTCTGACGACGATAGTCGTCGCCACCACCACCGTTCAATTCCCTTTGCCATGTCGAACAAAAACCAGCCAAACTTTACCCCGTTTGGCCATGTTTTAATCGGTTGAGCTAGACGATCTTCAGCTCCTCGACGGCGAACTCGCCATCTCTGTCCACCTCGAAGCCAACCACAACCACCACCCTCAGTCGGCAGCTCTTGAACCCAGGAAGAGAAACCTGGGTCTGATTGCCCATTGGAATAGCCATGGTAGCATGGCGAAGCTTTACCATTCTAGCGATCCGCGACTTTGACGGTGACTTTCAACGTCCTCCAACCAGTTTTGGACTCCCGCGAAGCTATGAAAATTCTTCCCCTTGTTTGGTTCTACATGCTTAAGAAATTTGGTGACGTTTGGAGAAAGTGGAAATTATGGTTCCCGTTCAAAATCGCAGCGGGCGGTGGTGTGGTGGTGCGTGGCCAGTGACCTGACTTTGTCTCCTAGACTAAATTCAATGCCCCGAACACATTTTTGGTATTCATTCAATGAGATTCTGTTGTTTGAACCTAGTTTCGTAAAGTTCTGCACCATTTTTGGTATTCGTTTGATGAGATTCTGTTGTTTGAACCTAGTTCCGTTTTAGAGTACGTAGGCAATCAAACACAAATGTTAGATGCAACCATAAAATAAATGAAAGGATGCTATGTTGTTGGATTATTTGATCGTTTTAAGCGAGGCGTGAGACTACAAATTAGGTACCTTGTGTATGTATTTTGTTGGAGTACTAAACCTATCTTGATTTTGTGTGGTTGTTCCATTATGGGGCAACGTCACGTATCGATCATAGACATATCTCGTAATTATTTTAATGTAAAAGATAATAAACTTAATAAAAAGGGAACTTTAACGAAAAGCACCCGGTACTGTTCACTTTAACGAAAAACCATATTTTTACACTAAAAAGTCAATCATGGTATTATTCACTTTACCCTTTATTTTGTCCTTATCATTAAAACTCAAAGTTTTCAAGTCCTTTTCATTAGTTTTCCTTAATAAAAATCGTCTTGTAATAAAAGAACTTGTTTTATTTATTCTTTCTTTCTTTTATTAGGAAATGAATCATTATACAGAGTACAATATATTGAATCAATAATTAAGGTCCTAAAGTGAGTGTTAGCAAGTGAATCGTAAGATTCATATCAAACACCCATCAATATTGTATTAATATCAATCACTATCCGTACTTTAAACAAAAAATGGTGTTACCGTGTAAATATAGTGTATGAGTGAAATAATTTTTATTAAACTTATATGATTGTGTTAGGGCCCTAGATTATATTTTACATTAAAATAATGCAGTAGTGAATGTCAAAGAAGACATTGATTGATTTTGAAAGTGAATGACCAAAATAATGAGTTTGGATAATTTTAGAGACTATTTGTAATAAAACCTAGGACCCTAGATTACAAGTTTGGTCAATCTCTCTCAATCAATATTTTTGGGCCCTAATACAATCAATATATTTCAGAGCATTAAGAACCCTAGATTAGTAGATTAGCTATTCTCAAAACCCATACAAGCATGCACAATATCTCTCTCATGCTAAACCAATAAGCTTTTAGCTTCCACGTAACACGTCACCAAAGCAAGTTACTAGTTACTGTAATCATGCAATCATTGTTATTTGGAGTCATAGATTCAACTAGAATGCTTCTTAAGATGTGCTAATTATTTTGAAGTATTTCAGAATTTGGTGCTGGAAATAAACTAGGGGAGCAAAGAGTTTCCATTGGGGCCCAAATCCAACTCGATCAAAATGTCCCCAACAAATGGTTGTAACTTGTAACACGCATACTTAATAGGCTTTAAAAGTGAAAAACAAACATACATAATAGTACATCAGTACTAAAGCCTTATTCGGTAATGTAGGATTGGATAGAAATGGATTACTCCCTTAATTCAAGATATGGAGAGGAGAGAAATGAAAAAAACATGTGCAACTAGAGTGTAAAAATTACTAATGAATAAACCTTATTCATTCTGATTCTCTCCAAAATAGAAGGATTAGAAATGATGAGTTTTCTTTAAAGTGTGATTCTTTTCTGATCTCCTTCAAGTGAGAAATAATTCAACTTTGCCTTTAATTTGCCTTGAAATTCAAGAGTTATCCATTCTATTCCAATCCTAGGTGCCAAATGAGTAGAAGTACAGTAAAGTGATATTATTTGCTATCTTTAAAAGTGACGTTTTAAATTTGACACCACAAATAATGAATTCCGATCAAAGCCGCCAAGACAAAGACACACTATCACATGTCATATTACTTCTTTTTTATTTTAATCAACACATGTCATAATGCTTTGGCCACCACATAGTTGGTGGAAATGTTGTGGTAAGACGCACCCAATACAGTGAATTGACTATTCATACAAAATTTGAATCATGTTCATAGTCAAATTAAATATATAGGCTTTCCAATGGGCATTATTGTCAATGTAATTTTATTACAAATAATCTTTGAAATTGACTAAATTCCTTATTTTGGTTTATAAATTGAAAATCAATCAACGTCCTCTCCGAAATTTGACTTTGCAAATTAATTTGGTCATTCCATTAAAATTCCGTCAAAACTTCTACTAGTGGCACATATGTGAGACCCAATATACCCAATTCAAAAAGCGCCATGCGAACTATATTAGTTATTATTTTCTGAATTGATATAAAGTTCTAAACCAATAAATAAACCAGAATGAATGGAAAATGAAGTACAAAGGAGAAATCTGAAAACAAAGAGAAGAAAGAGGTCAACGTGAACGGGTGGCTCGACGAACAGTTGGCGTTGGCCGCTCAAATTTGGAAGAAGGGGTGGCCCCATGAGTCACCCATGAGTTAGGTGCCTGGGTTGGAAACTTGGAAGCAAGGTCTAAAATATCGATGATATCGGAAATATCGGTAGTCTAAAAATACGGAAATTTCGATGGAAATATCAGGATATTATCGATATCGATAAAAATTGAATAAAAACCACGGAAATTGTAAGAAAAACTTGGAAATTTTTATTGAAACTTTGCAAGATGTTTATTTAGTCAATTATCTATTAGTTTATCACAAAAAATTGGAAGGAAATGCATTGCATGTTGAATTTAACTGATTTAAGTTGATTATATAGTAAGCTGGCAAACATTGTGAGTGTAGAAAATATGTAGTAATTAATGAAAAAAATTTAAACACACTATAATCATTTATATATAATGAATTAGTACAATATTTTACACTTTATACAATATTTAGTACAATATTATGGTGTTGTTTAAAAAAAAAAAAAAATATTATCTAACTAATTTATATAATTTATTTATTAGGGGATATTGGGTAATTATTGTTTACCCCTTTATTTTGTGATAAGGCAGAGGTTGGTGCACTTCACCACGCCAAACTAAGCATCTTTTCAGAGACTTTTTCACTTTCCCTAGTTCCTTGCTGCCCGTTCACATCTTTTCATCTTTTCGGACTTTTCTCCTTCTACATCTTCTTCTTCATCTTTTCAAACTTTTCTCTTTTATCTCTCCACTCCATCTTCTTCTTCATCTTTTCACTTTTCTTCTTCTTCTGACTTTTCAAACTTTTCTTCTTCTTTTTCATCTTTTCAGATTTTCTCTTTTACCTCGTCTTCTCAGTTTCTATCCCTCCATTTTCTTCTTTCCTGAAAACCCACAAATCAAACATCGAAAATATCTCCCTCTATCCCTCCAAATTAAAACAACTCCCTCAATCCCTTCATCTCTCCACCGCACATCTCCTATCCACCACCGCACTTCTCTGTTTTCAGGCACAAAAGTCTTGGGTTTGCAATACTGGTCAAATCTGAGATGCAGCACGACGAGAGACATCTAGATGTTCTGGGTTTGCAGTTTGCACAAACACAAAGTGGAGAGACGAGGAGCCGCCTACCATGCCGCCTAGCACCGCCTAGTCGACCGCTTAAACCTTCTCCGTATATTGAACGTTTTGCCCAAAACCGCCACGGAAACCCACCGCCTAGCGGCCGATTTTTAGAACACTGCTCGCAATATTATTGATATTATCGATAATATCGCGATATATTGCCCAAATAATGCATTAAAATGCTGAAAATATCATCTCCAATATTATCGCGAGACAAAAATATCAATATATTGACGATAATTAAGTGGATAAGTGTGAAAATATCGCCCTCTAAAAAAAACGATATTATCGGCGAAATATCGCCAATAATATCGATATTTTAGACCTTGCTTGGAATGATGATTTCGATGTCCAGAGGGATGATTTGTCCTTTAAAAAAAAATTATTTAGGTTTATTTATTGTTTTTCAAAATTTAAATCTATTTTTAAAAATAACAACTTGTATTATCCAAGTGGCTCTGTTTAATTGGTATATGAGGGATTTGGATCATCTTCTGAGCTTAAGAGCCTAAGCTCCCTTATTTGTAGCCGTTGGATCAAAATCCACGGCCCGTGTGCTTTGCTCAGGAGGCTCAGCCTTATAAGCTCAATTCAAATCCGTATATGAGACCCCGCCCATGTGCCTGATTGCCACTAACAAAAGTTTGATGGAATTTCAATGGATTGACTAAATTGACTCGCAAAGGCAAATTTCAGAAAGAAAAAAATATTAATTCATTTTCAATTTTAGATGCTAAAATGAGAAATTTGATTAATTTTAGACCATTTGTGAAGCCCATAATATAAAAGGGCCAAGCAAGCAACACGCTTTTCAGTTCATGAGCGTTGCATTGAGCTTTATTAGCAATTCTCCTTCTATTTTCTCTAACTAGTTTTATTTTATTTTATTTTAGAGTAAAATGCCGATTTAGTCCATGAACTATCATTCAACGAAAATTAGGTTCCTGAATTATTTTTTTGGTAAAATAAGTCCCTAGGTTCATTAAAAATTGCTAATTTCATCCCTACCACTATATTCAAAGCCATTTTATCCAATTTTTCATCAACTTAAGTCACTTGACACACATTAGAGTGCAATACCGTCTTTTTCTCGCCTATAAGCCCTTAACATTTCATATATGTTGCGAATCTAACGTCTAATTTACCCTCCAAAGTTAACTCCATACACTATTTCTTAATGAAGAATTACCAATCTATCCTCCAATGTGTATCACATGCAAGTAACGTGACCTAAATTGATGGAAAATTGAATATAGTAGTTTCAAATCTAATATTAGAAATGTAATTGGCATATTTCTTATAATTCAATGACTGCTTTTTAAAAAAAAAGTTCAAGGACCTAATTTTTACTCAAATGATAAACAATTCATCCTTTATTTTAATAATACAATAGGAAAAAAGAAAGTGTTTGAACTCGAGAGACACAGCCCCTCTCTCTCATATATATATATATACACACACACATATCACACACATACACTCACACCGAGAAACAAGAGGAGTTAAGAGAGAGAAGCATGGAAGGAGGAAGAAAGAAGAGGAAGATGAAAATTGAAGAAGAGGATGAAGAGGAAAAGATAGAGAAATTCTTTGCGTTGATTAGAAGTACGAGGGAGGTGCGCGAGCGTCTTAGGGGCAACTCAAACGTCTCAAAGGAGAAGACAGATGAGAAGAAAAAGGAAGACGGCAAGGCTGCCGGGAGTTGGAACCCGACATTTCAACCGGAGGACTTCCTTGAGGATGTTAAGAAGTCTGGTGAAAAAGAAGATAAGAAAGAAAATGGAGAAGGGAATGGTATAAACCTAAATCTTTCTTTGTAGGGCAACGAGGTTAGAGTTCAGTTGATTAAGAGCATTCACACTCTGCACCTTAGGTTCCGGGTTTCATCATACTCCCGCAATATCATTTGTATCAAAAAAGAAACAAGGTTTCTTTGTAGGCACTCTGTCTGTGATCAAAAGAACACAGCAGTGCACTTTCTTCCATGTGGCTCATATTTACTTAAGCTTTTGTTCATTACTAAGTTGTTTCCTCAATGTCAGTGCTATGGTCTCTGTGTGTGGTGTGTGTGTCTTGTGTCCATCATCTGACCCAATACGATAAAAATTTAACAAAATTAGAAAAAACACACCGACAACTTTAAGTTTTATACGGAAACAATTCAAGAGCTCAATTGAAAAAAAAAATTCTTATATATGACGCGTTTTTCCTAAAATTTTGGATTTGACGCGTTTTTCTCTAAGATGTACTGTTATCAATAACTTCTACGTGAAAAACCCAAACAAATATGAAATTACATCTAGCAACTTGGGAGATGATCCAATTATTCTATTAGAAAATATCTTCTTGGAGCATAATCTATTAGTAGAAACCACTACTTTCTAGCATGAAATATTGAAATAAAGTGATTTGAGTGATGTAATCAGCAAAATAAACCACCATTATTGATTCATTCGACCTTTGAAAATGAAAAAATTCTAGGGTGCTCCGGAGTATGAAATACTCCTCGTTTTTTAACCGTTAGATCTTAATTTTTATATTTTTAAACAAAGATTTAACAGTCAAAATACTTAGAATATCTCCTATTTCAGAGTAGCCTAGAAAATTATTTGAAAATGAGCAAACTTGGTTGATTCACGTCAAAACCAACTCTGGACCCACATTGAACGATTGAAAGACATTACGACCTACAATAGGTCCCGCTTAAATGATAGATCTTTTCCTGTACATGAAAATGGTGTTAAAAATAGAAAATTGCTTAGAACCAAATCTTTGTGCAACTTATTTTTCACTTCACTCATAAAGATGGATTCTACGATCATGTGAGAAAGTTAAAAAAAAGGGTTATCCTCTAAGCCAAGATCGAGCCGTTGTCGTCTACGAGTAAAGAGAAAACCGACAGGTATTATATTTTGACTACATCCTAATTTTCATCAACCAACACCGAAAAGGGGGAATTTGAAAGAGTCACTCAAAGGGAGAAAAAGAGAAGCCTAGTTTAGCTCAATTCATGTAAATACGAATTACAAATAAGAAACATATTCGAACTATTTTATTTTTTTGGGAACAACCGATGTGCAAACAATCAATAACGGATTTTCGAATTTCCAGTAAGAGGAGAGAAACTCAACCATGCATATAAAAGTGAACGCATGCACAGACACACACTCGCTAACATGGTAATCGATAGCAGGGAATAGAGGAAACTACAAGTTTGATGCCAAAGAAAGTAATAAGAAAATCACATTAAGTTAGGAAGTGTGAAATTTAAAAGTATTTAAAAGATGATCTTTCCTGAACAAAAGCCTTATGTTCGCCATCCTCGGCTCAACTCAATGTGTATCATTTATGTCAAATCCCAGCCCTGAATCATAAGGTGAACTGCAAACGTGGCACAAAATATTAGCAACTTAACAGACGAAAAATGTAACAAAATAAATGTTAAGAAATTAGATTGAAAAATAACACACCTCAACACGAGAAAAATTTATAGTCATGTAGCAGATGAAAACAAGCCTCATCTATATAAGCAATCATCCCCTGCCATTTTCAAACGGCCATAATCTGAAAAGTAATTCGAAACTGTTTCGAATCCAGAATCATTGCCGTAGGCCTTACACTTTGAAGTTTACAGCTTTTTTGGACTGTCACGGCATACAAGTTATCGTTTTGGAAGTTCTCAACACAAATTCCTGGATTGATTTGAAAGTCATGTACCAACAAAGTTTTAGCAAGTTCTCCTCAAGGTTCTTTATATCAGTGTCATTATCTGGAAGTATCAATATATGTCCCGATCAATTAACGCACAATTCCCGTCTCAAAACTAGGCAGTCCCAGGATGTATCCCCATAGCACAAGGTGTGCAATCACCAATAGTCTCCACAAGAACACACGCCATCCTTAAAATGATGAAATCTATTAGCATCCCTCAAAACTATCTCTCTCTGCGTAACTTTAGCTATTAATTTAATTGCAGAATGGCAATCTCCACAAACCTGAAGGTTCTTCATCACACGAATGGGCATCCCTTGTGGCACCTTCAGGAGCCCATATGCTATGGCCAGTTTCTCACTGTGATAACCCAAGCTGTGCACCTTCTCTTCTTCTTCTACATCATGCAATACAAAGCTGCCATCAGGGCAGTAACCAGCTTCACTTAATAATACACCCAGTCTCTCTAACTCTCTCATGATCATCTCATGTTCAGGGTGTCCCGTGCTCTCTCCCCCAGTAAACATATGTACATTCTTCTCCACCTCAATCCAGCTACAACCAGGTGACTTGCGAAGGCTTCTGGCTCTCATGTTTTCCCTCAGCTCTGCAACATCATGCCATCTACCCTGGGATGCATAAATATTTGATAGCAAGACGTATGGCCCTGCTTTTTCGGGATCAGGCTCTGTAAGTTTCCTTGCTGAAACTTCCGCCAAGTCCATTTTCATGTGCTGTCTGCATGCACCTAATAAGGCACCCCAAACAATTGCATCTGTTTCCACTGGCATTTTTTTAATTAAATCCATTGCCTTCTTTACTTGCCCTGCTCGACCAAGCAGATCAACCATACAAGCATAATGTGCAGTTCCAGGCTCCACCTGGTACTTCGATTTCATTGTTTAAAAAATCTCAAGACCTTTTTCTACCTTCCCACTATAGCTACACGCTGAAAGAATTCCAACAAATGTGATTTCATTGGCTGCTATGCTCAAAGAGCACATCTCTTCAAACACTTGCAGAGCTTTATCTCCCAAACCATGCTGGGCATAACCAGTAATCATTGAGTTCCACATAACAATATCCTTTGCAGAAAACCTGTCAAATACTTGTTTTGCCTTCACAAGGTTGCCACATTTAACATACATTGTCATCAAAACGGAAGCAACATATACATCAAGATCAAACTAATTTCTCACCAACTGGGCATAATCATGATTTGCCAAGCTGCCACAAACAGATAGAACACTTATCAAAGAAGGGAAATTCAGCCTTATACCTTCTCTTTGCATCAAAGCAAACAAGTCAAGGGCTTCCAATTCAAAACCTTTGCATTCATAAAATTTAATCATCGCACTCCATGTCCGCTCATCCCTATCTCTCATATTATCAAACTCTTCCCTTGCTTTAGCTACCTCTCCATTTTCGCCATACCCAAGTATCATGGCATTACAAGCAACAACTGACTTAATCGGCATTGCTTGAAAAAGATTCCTAGATACCATCGTGGTCCAGGAAACAACATTCCTACGCGGCATCTCATAAAAAATCTCACATGCTTCAGCCAAACGGTCAATCTGAAAACACCCACCAATCATATTAGTTCTTGCCACAACATCCTTCTTGGGCATCATATCATAAAGCCTACAAGCATCATCAATCCGACCCTCTTGTATCATGCCACCCAACATCACTGTTCACGAAACAACATTCTTTTCAGGCATTTCCCAGAAAAGTGATTCAGCCTCTGAAATCATACCCTCTTGCATGTACCCTCAAACCATCAATGTCCATGAAACAACGTTCCTTTCGGGCATTGAATCAAACACTTTCCTAGCCTCACTAATCATCCCATTCTTGACATACCCTGATATCAAACCGTTCCAAGAAACTGTATTCCGCTCCTGCATTTTATCAAACAATCTTCGGGCTTCTCCTGGCTGATTACCTTGGAAGTAACCTCCAACCATTGAGTTCCAAGACACAATATTTTTATCAGGCATTTGATCAAACACCCTTCGGGCTTTCTCAATTTGGCCAAGCCAAGCATACTGAGCAATCTGAGAATTGGCGGAAATTGCAATACCAGTGCCATATTTCTGAGATAGAATAACCGAGCCAGCATTGTAACGCTAAGATTGCACTACCTACATAAAGAAAACAATTATTCAGAGATTACTAAATAAAGGCTAGAGGTCTAGTCTAATAAACCAGTTCCCTTTTCTTTCCAGCTCAACCTCGACAACAACACACAATCTTATTTTTACACTGAAAATACAAAGTGAAACATTAATGACCATATTACAAAGTGAAATACAAATTACTCCAGACACAAACACACCTCATATTCCATCTTCTTTGCCAAGCTTTAGCTCCCTACAGAAACACAGATAACAAATTTGCTAATGAACCTCTGAAAAGAAAACAAATTTGCTCCTCCACAAGGCCAAGGATTTTAAGTTTCACGAGCAACATTGGCTGTCATATTGAGCCGGGGATCTTCTCGAAAATGGGAAGATCTAGAAAAGGCGGCCATCCTCCTAAGGGGGACTCGGAGATATAGCAAGTAAGCAGCAAGGTTCTCCATTTACGACCGACTAGAACAAGATGGCGACTGTAATAGAAACAAACAGTAAGCTCTGGTCTCTATTTGCTTGTAATGCTATGTTCCCCCTCTCAATCTCTCTCGGGAATGCCATCTCTTTCATAATCTCCCCAATGTAATAACAGCAAAATAATACTGCAATTTTTGGCAGCACTGAAAACCGCATCAGTTGATCAATGAAAGACAGGCAAATATCATCCCCATCTTCATCAAGTACCCAAATAGTTACCATTTCCATATCGCACTTCATGGACCACCCTTTCTTCTGAATGCAACCATTCTCAATTCCATAAACATATAATGACCTAAAACTAACTACAATCCTAACAACTCCTATCAAAATTCAATTAAAAAACCCCAAAAATGCAAAATTATTTTCTCAAAAATCACACTAGTTGAGCGGTTTGAGTTCATATTTTCTTATTTCTTTTTGGGCTTTTTCCTAAATAATACCACTTTCACTGATGCAATTGGAAACCCACCAGGAACATCAAAATTTTCCAATTAATCCATACATAGGAATTCAAACCAGGAAAAAAAATCAATTGTATAGAAAAAACTAATAGAGTAAATAAACATTGAAGATTTGATGAAGAAGAAATCTCACCTTCGAGTTTAGGGCATATTCATATATTTTCTGGTCAGATCAAATCGAACAGTAGCTGTGGCTACTGCTGAGATGTCTGAGAAGGAGAAGCAAAGTGTTGTGATTCCAGTTTTAATTTGCTTTAATCGTAGGGCATTGGACAAATTTGTAATAGGGAGTTAATTGTTGGTGGGAATTGGGGTCTTTTTGTATTAGAGTCTAAATTGGAGGGGTAGTTAAGTAAACTTGGTTGTTATATTTCCTGAGATTGTTGCAATTGGAACGGATGAAAAATCAATATTGAATTCTCTTTCGATTTGCTCTCTTCTCTGTACAATCCCACCATTGCTGCAGGTCAAGGTTGAACCCAGATTATTGGGACACTAACACAAAGAAGGGTCGTTGTGGTGGTGCTGGTTTAGGGTTTAGGGTAGTCGACGAAGAGAGAAGCAGCATTCGCGGCGGCGTCTCCGACCGGGAAAGTGAGATTACATGTAATTTTCAAAAACATATAAGGGTATTACAGGAATTCCAAAACTTTTTAAACCTGCAACTGCAACCCCCCCAGACGTTGCTGCTAAAATCTGCTGCCACTGCCCCGTAGCTTTTAGAAAAAGCGGCTTTTATCCACCGCACCCTCTTTTAAGAATAAATAAATAAAGACTCCGTCAGTCGTCTCTCTCACTCTCTTCTCCTTCTCTCAATACACAGACCCTAACCCTAACCCAAAAATACCATACCCGAATTCCCTCAACTTTTTTCACTCCAATTACACACAATTTCGATAAGCCCTAATAAAAGAGAAGGTATGATTTTGTTGTTCGGTTTTGATTTCAGTTTCTAGATTAAATCTACTTTGTGTCCTAATTTGTTTAAGCATACCAAATTGTGAGTGAATTTTATGATTCATGTGCTGTTTTACCCCTCAATTTCGTCATATTTACCTTTATTTCTCATATGGGTCACTGGTGTTTTGGTCTGTTTTGCTATGATATATCAAAAAGCTTGCAGCTTTGTGTTGCCTGTTCAATGAGCTTCAACTCTATGAATATGTGGCTGCTGAGAAAACCAAGAAATGGGGGGCATGGAATAATTAATTTTTTTTGGCTTTTAACTTATTTATGTTACTTGGCCAACTTGGAAACTTAGCACCCCACTTAATTGATTGGTTTGGTTACTACTACCATTTACCATAAGATACAAACTGTTGTTCTCTTTTCATTTTCCTATGCTTTTCTCAGGAAGTTGGATTTTGCAACTTCTTAATCATATGTTGAGTGTTGGATATCCTGCAAATTTCGAGCCTCACTATGTTTTTGTTTGACATCAGTCTTTCGCATATCCATGGTGTTTGTTTTTGTTTTTATTCTGAATAGGTTTTGTGTTGAAGGAGTAAATGGTTTCTGAAAGTGGTTATCGAACTCTGCATCATTTTATTTGTGAGCGAGCAAGTTACTGATGTATAATGGTTATGGAGAATCTACGAATCAATGAATATCCGATCATGGGATTATTTGCAATTGAATTTAGCTTCATCTTTAATTTGACCTTTACATACATACACAAAGCATGATCGCGAACTGGCATTGATGTCTGGTCAAATATACTACTGTGTTCAAGCTGCTTGAGTTGGTTGGTTATTACTAATTTGTGCGTCTAATCTATCATATATATATATATATATGCTCTCTCTCTGTGGAATCTCTGACAAACTAATTTTACAGAAAATAAAGGAAATGGAAGAATTGGAGAAAGAAGCTCAGCGGCTGAAATCTCTAGCCGAGGCCAAATACAAAGACTCCAACGTCAAATCAGCCCTCAAATATGCAAAACGTGCCGAGCGCCTGTGCCCAAGCATGGAAGGTATCTCCTCCATGGTCACTGCCTTAAAGATCATCCATACGGCCTCCAAAAGCCCCAATCCCGACTGGTACAAGGTCTTGCAGGTGGAGCCCTTTGCTCACATCAACACCATTAAGAAGAACTACAAGAAGTTCGCGTTTCTTCTCCACCCTGATAAGAATCCTCATGCCGGTTCCGAAGAGGCTTTCAAACTCGTCAACGAGGCCGTTAGGTTCCTTTCTGACAAGCTTAGGAGGAAGGAGTATGATATGAAACTCAGGATTAGGATTCAGGATGAGAAGATAAAAGAAAGTGGTGTTGGGGGTTTAGGTTCGAGTATGGGGGTGGAGAGTGACACCTTTTGGACTGCCTGTTCGACGTGCCGGCTTTTGCACCAGTTTGAGAGGAGGTATTTGGGGCATAATTTGGTTTGCCCAAGTTGTAGGAAGAGCTTTAAGGCTCTGGAGGTTGAAAGTGGTGAGAATGCCAAGATTAGGACTAGTGAGAGATTAAGGAAAGCGAGTTTGGCATCAAAAGGGGGAATGAGTAGTGAAGGATTGGGGAGGAGAGTGAGTGACAGTGGTGAAATAAATGGTGGTACTGGTGGGAGAAGGAAAAGTGATGGGTTGCAGAGGAAGGGTGAAGTAGGTACAGGAGATTTAGACAGTCAAGTGAGTGCTGGGAGAAGGAAGAGAGGTATTTTGGAGAGGAAAGGTGAAGGGGCTACTGGGGATGTGGATTGTCAAGTTACCTGTGGTGATGCTGGTGAACTGAGTAGTTTGAGGTTGAGGAGGAGAATGAGTAGTGTTGGAGAGGTGATGGAGAGGTCTAAACCAAAGAAGGCAAAAACCGGTGATGAAATGATGACATTGGCAGAAATTAAGCAAAAGGTCCGAGAGGGGAAGTTGAAGATGAAGGACAAGGAGGATGAAAGAGATAAGAAAGAGAAGAGGGAGAGGCTGAGGCATGAAAATTTAAAGAAGGGTAAGAATTTAGAGGTTGAGAGATGCGCTGCTTCAAAGAAGAAGGATTTAGAAAGTGATAAAAGTAAGGGCACGTCAATAGAGAAGTGCAGGGGGTCCAAGAGTGGGGATCTGGAAATTATGGTGGTAGAGGATTCAGATTTTTATGATTTTGATAAGGATAGAGTGGGGAGGAGTTTTGAGAAAGGGCAGGTTTGGGCTATATACGATGATGATGACGGAATGCCAAGGCTTTATGGTTTGATTGATGAGGTTGTTTCTGTCAAACCTTTTGAGGTGAAAATGAGTTGGTTGGATCTTCAGAATAATAGTGATGAGTGGCTTGCCTCTTCAGAGAAAATGGGATTCCATGTGTCTTGTGGGAGGTTTAAAGTTTCCAGAAAGACTTCAATTAATTCATTGAATATATTCTCTCATCTCGTGGATTGTGAAAGGGTGGCAAGAGAGATTTATCATATTTATCCGAAGAAGGGGTCAGTGTGGGCGTTTTATAATGAAGCAGCTTTGGATGCAGAGGGAAGAAACTGGTCTGTTAAAGACAAGCGGTGTTACGACATAGTTGTGTTTCTGACAACTTATAGTGAGATGTACAGTATGAGTATAGGTTATCTTGAGAAGGTTGATGGGCTCAAGACAGTATTTAAGAGAAGGGAGATCGGGTCTCATGCTGTTAGGTTGCTAGAAACCAGTGATGTTAGGTTGGCTTCACACCAAATACCTTCTAGGAAGCTCTCGGGTGATGAGGCTCCAAACATTTTCAAAGACTGCTGGGAACTTGATCCTGCTTCTCTTTCTCCGGATTTACTTACATTTGGTTCTGGAAGATATGTTTAGACTATAGTTGGGAAAGCAGAGAGCAATTCGTGTAGCCTTTTCTTCTTCTTTTTTGGGGGTTCAAAGTGCGATATGCTGCTGTACATCCACTACCCTACTGAGGTGATTTTTGTAGCAAATGAGGGTATTGCTCCTGAACTACAATCTAATCAGTTGCTGCGACTATATAATCTTCCATTTTTTTTCTTATGGGATTGGATTAAATGCTGGTTTACAATCAAAAGATAAATATGTATGTATACTGATTAATGTGAAGCAGCTGTTTTTCTGTTCTGCTCTTATCTTGGACAAACGGGCTCTTATTTTCTTTTCGCCCAAGCTTTAGGTTATTGACCAAAAAACAAGGGAAATGGTCACCATTATTCAGTATTGATAAACAAAATTAAAAAACACCCAGCTTTTGGAAATTAATCATGTATAATGATTTCGAACCTCTCAGTCTCTCAAGACATCAAATAATGAGCAAATTCTAGCGCGCGCGCTCTCTCCCTCTCTCTCTCTCTCTCTCTCTCTCTCTCTCTCTCTCTCTCTCTCTCTCAACCAATTTTCCTATCCTAATTAAGGGCCTGTTTGAGAAATGATAGGGATGTTGGGTTGCTACAACCCATCTCTCTCTGTCTCCCGCTGCTTGAGGCAACGGTAAGCTAACGATTCTAATCTCACCTATCAAAGCTTCAGTGTTTAGTTTCTGGGATGCTATTATTAATCTTTCAAGTAATTGAAATACCATTTTTTTTGTATTTATGATTTATGCAGAGCAGATGGATACTCCATAGATGTCCCAAACCAATATCTGTTGGTTTTTTGGATCACCGGGTCTGCTCCACTTTAACGACACCGATACTGTCCCCAACTTAATCATATGTCCAATTCGTTAGGTGTGGTTTTTTGGATCACCGGGTCTGCTCCACTTTAACGACACCGATAATGTCCCCAACTTAATCATATATCCAATTCGTCAGGTGTGAGGTTTTACCACAAAAGGCCTTGATATTAGTTAGAGTAGGATATTACTATTTAAACCCCTTTGGTTTTCTTCACCCCATTGATGTGAGACTTTAACACTCCCTCTCACGTGTAACCTCATTTAGTGGTTTACACGAGGAGATTCACGTTGGTAATTGAAACTCAGGGGTCGGCTCTCATTGGGCCCACTTGTTTTCAATGGAACTCAGTGATTGTCTCTATATTAAGAGTTTAGACTTGTTTCATTATGGGTGACAAGCTTGTTGGCTTTCACACAAGCTCATTGGCTTGCACGGGCCCGAACCGTAGGCTCTGATACCATGTTGTATTTTTGGATTGCTAGGCCCGCCCCACTCTAACGACACCGATACTATCCCCAACTTAATCACCTGCCCAATCCGTCAGGTGTAGGGTTTTACCATAAAAAACTTCGATATTAGTTAGAGTAGGGTAATACCATTTAAACCCCTTCGATGTGGGACTTTAATAATATCTACATTTTGGAAACTTTTTCCCTTTCAAAACATCTTTTTCAGTAGAACTTCAGAGCTGATTTATTCTGGGATTATGTCTTTAGAAGTTCAGAGCTGATTTATTCTGGGATTAAACATTTCCTTGTGATTCCTTTCGGTTATGTCATATATTAATTGGTTGATTTCTCTCAAATTTATTGTATCATATTTCGTGTTTTTTTAGGGTGGGGGAGAAGTGTTACTTATTATTTGACATTGCAAAAGTTTGATGTGCAGGAATCAGGATAAGTGTTGTATTGTAGCTACGGTTGTAAATCTTGATTCATTGCACCGATTACTTTGGAGTAGCACAAGTTTTGACGTTTTTCTGCTTCTTTCAATCATATCTAATTGCAGTCGTGAGATGGAGAGTGCAGAGTGCTAGTCAAGAATATTGAGTAGCAGAAAATGGTAATCCCGGTTCTCCCTTATTTTCTGTTTTGTAGATTTGAAAATGGCGTGTCGTGTGAAGGAGAATTCTGTCTCATTTGTCTCCCTCAATGAGACTTTGTGTCAAGGCATTAGTTGATTATTTTGTTCAAATACTACGTTAGCATTCTTATTTGACCATAAGCAAAACGTTGGAATTCGATCTTGGGCTTAAGTTGATAGATGATTTGTTTGTATGGTTTGCAACCCCAGCAATGGCTGCTGGGAAAGTGTGAGAAGTTAAAATTAGCACTTCTGTGGGTTTTTCATATTATGAGCAGGCTAATTATAAAAACATTGCAAGAATGAAACAATTGTCCAAGGTAGAATTGTGTTGGGAGAGTTGTGATTTGGATTTAAAACAGAGTTTCTGAAGAGTGCATTGATTCTATTCTCTATGCTTCTCTTCTGCTATTTCCAAGCTGCTGATTACCCTTCTTTTTACTATTTTTCCTCCCATCACTGGCGGCAAATTTCTTGCACAAATTTTGCTGAATTAGATCGTTTTTGTTAGCCCATGTAGGCTCTAGTTGCTCAAGTGGATGCAAATATGATACTGGGTTTGTTAGCATGACCTGATAGTGTTTGGCTTATTGTCGCCGTATGTACCCGAGTCTAACTCCCACATTTTGTGACTACACTATCTATTGGTATGTGTTATTCCGCTCTCATTTTCTTCACATGCACTCCTCTTTTTTCTACCTTGTGATTGAATAAATCATAAGAGAATCAAAGCGGCAAAAACAAGGGGAGAAGTATAGAGCGATAAAGTGAGTGAAAATCACTTACCTAACTAATTATTCGGATGATTGGCAGTTGATGATTAATTGATTTTTGATAATTATCAATAACTAATGTAATAAGTATGTGCTCGTTCACTGGCACATCATGTGATCAACTAATATACAACAACAACAACAACAACAACAAAGCATTTTCCCACTAGGTGGGATCGGCTATATGAATCCTAGAACGCCATTACGCGCGGTTCTATGTCATGTCCTCCGTTAGATCTAAGTACTCTAAGTCTTTTCTTAGAGTCACTTTCAAAGTTTTTTTTATGTCTTCCTCTACCCCTTTGGCCCTGGTCCTCTATCCCGTAGTTGCATCTTCTAACTGGAGCGTCAGTAGGCCTTATTTGCACATGTCCAAACCACCGTAACCAATTTTCTCTCATCTTTCCTTCAATTTCAGCTACTCCTACTTTACCTCAGATATCCTCATTCCTAATCTTATCATTTCTCGTGTGCCCACGCATCCAATGAAGCATCCTCATCTCCGCTACACCCATTTTATGTACGTGTGATGCTTCACCGCCCAACATTCTATGCCATACAGCATCGTCGGCCTTATTGCCATCCTATAAAATTTTCCCTTGAGCTTCAGTGGCATACGGCGGTCACACAACATGCCAGATGCACTATTCCACTTCATCCATCCAACTTGTATTCTATGGTTGAGGTCTCTATCTAATTCCCCGTTCTACAAGATAGATCCTAGGTAGCGAAAGCGGTCGCTCTTTGGCACTTCCTGATCTCCGATCCTCACCCTTACCTCATTTGGGCCTCCATGTGCACTGAACTTGCACTCCATATATTCTGTCTTTGATCGACTTAGGCGAAGACCTTTAGATTCCAACACTTCTTTTCAAAGGTTAAGCTTCCCATTTACCCCTTTCTGAGTTTCATCTATTAACACTATATCGTCTGTGAAAAGCATACACCAAAGAATATCATCTTGAATATGTGCTGTTACTCATCCATTACCAATGCAAAAAGGTAAGGACTTAAGGGTAAGCCTTGGTGTAACCCTATAACTATGGGGAAGCTTTCGGTTTGTCCTTCATGAGTTCTTACGGCAGTCTTTGCTCCATCATACATATCCTTTATGTCTTGGATATATGCTATTCGTACTCCTTTCTTCTCTAAAATCCTCCAAAGAATGTTTCTTGGGACTCTATCATACACTTTTTCCAAATCTATAAAAACCATGTGTAAATCCTTTTTCCTATCTCTATATATTTCCATCAATCTTCGTAAGAGATATATTTTCTCCATGGTTGAGCGCCCTGGCATGAACCCTAATTGGTTGTCTGAAACCCGTGTCTCTTGGCTCAATCTATGCTCGATGACTCTCTCCCAGAGCTTCATTGTATGACTCATTAGCTTAATACCCCTATAGTTCATGCAATTTTGTACGCCGCCCTTATTCTTGTAGATAGGCACCAAAGTGCTCTTTCGCCACTCATTTGGCATCTTCTTCGTTTTCAAAATCCTATTGAAAAGGTCCGTGAGACATGCTATACCCGTCTCTCCCAAGATTTTCCACACGTTGATTGGTATATCATCTCGGCCTACTGATTTTCTAAGCTTCATCTTTTTCAAAGCTACAACTACTTCTTCCTTCCTGATTCGGCGGTAAAATGAGTAGTTTCTACACTCTTCTGAGTTACTCAACTCCCCCAAAGAAGTACTCCTTTCATGTCCTTCATTGAAATGATTATGAAAATAACCTCTCCATCTGTCTTTGACCGCGTAGCAAGAACCTTTTCATCCTCATCCTTGATGCACCTCACTTGGTTTAGGTCCCTTGTCTTATTTTCCCTTGCTCTAGCTAGTTTATAGATATCCAACTCTCATTCTTTGGTATCTAGTTGCTTATACATATTGTCATAAGCCGCTAGCTTAGCAACATTCCTTCTTAGCCTTCACCTTTGTTTGTACCTCCTCATTCCACCACCAAGATTCTTTTTGGTGTGGAGCAAAACCCTTAGACTCTCCTAATACCTCTTTTGCTACTTTTTGGATACAACTAGCCATGGAATCCCACATTTGGCTAGCTTCCCCCTCTCTATCCCACACGCATTGGGTGATTACTTTCTCTTTGAAGATGACTTGTTTTTCTCCTTTTAGATTCCACCATCTAGTCCTTAGGCACTTCCAGGTTTTGTTCTTTTTTCCTCTCTCTTTTGATATGTACATCCATCACCAACAAGCGGTATTGATCAGCCAAGCTTTCTCCCGGTATAACTTTGCAATCCTTACAAGTTATATGATCCCCCTTTCTCATTAGAATAAAATCTATTTGTATTTTTGACGACCCACTCTTGTAGGTGATCACATGTTCTTCTCTCTTCTTAAAGAAGGTGTTGGCTAAGAAGAGATTATATGCCATTGCAAAATCCAAGATGGCTTCCCCATCCTCGTTTCGCTCCCCAAAACCATGGCCACCATGAAAACCTCTATAGTTGCCTTTCTCTTTGCCCACGTGTCCATTTAAATCTCCTCATATAAATACCTTCTATGTCTGAGCAATTCCTTGCACCAAGTCTTCAAGATCTTCCCAAAATTTCTTCTTCAAACTCGTATCTAACT